AGGGGAAAATTCGAGTGTGGGCAGTTGGAACAGGTTTATAACCCCCATTTCGAGGGTATGTGTGTGCCCATTAATCGCGGGTTAATTGCCTACAAAGCGGCAGCTAATTGCCCAAGTTGTTTCAGGAGTCATTGATGTAGGGAAAATGGAATTCCTCAAGACAAATTGATGGTGGAATAGGCTCATAAGCATTGTTTATCGTTATAGGTATTCATTTCACGAGTAAGTTAGAAGTTACCTATTGGAAGTTATCAAAACTTTTACTTAATCACTACTATTTGATTTATTTGATTAGATAATACAAAGAGGCCAAGTGGATCTTCCCCCTAAAGTAAGCAATCTCGAACCCCACAGCCTCTATAAACCGAAACCATTCTGTTCTGTAACCACATGTTAGTTCGACTTTATTATGCACGAGTCTAAAACAAACCACACGCAGAAATAAAACCATCAGAGCGAGAGCAGCAAAAACTACTTATGCTGGGAGCTGGGAGGACGGGAAGGGTGGATATGGGTTGGCCATAAGCCGAGTCCTCTTCGGTTCCCAAGCCACGCAGATGCTGCAGACGGAGCAAAAGGAGCAGACCGAGCAGAAGGCGCTCTTCTCCGGCAGACAAAGCGGTGCGTGTGCAATTGCCAACTCCAGCCAAAGAAGCGTCAGCCCAGGCCACCAAACTGGCCAGGATCCAGGGGTTCTGGAGGGGTGGAGCGGGGCGCTGGCCAAGATGGGACTTCGACTGGGGCTGTGCGGCATAAATTGCGCATAAAACATGGAAAATGAAGCGATAAACTTGAGATACGCGATCGTAAAACAAAGGCAACGTCGTCGTCTTCGTTGCTTTACCTCTCCAGTCTGACCCGAAGATTTAAAGAGCACTGAAACCAAATCACACTAAGATATTACAAATGATACAATAATTGAAAAGGAATTATTAACTAAACTTAAGAATTTTTCTTTATTTAGATTTAAAAATTGTTAAAAGGCATTCTACCAACTTAAAGTAAAATGTTTTCTTGTATTATTCGAGCTATTATAATTCCATTTGGCAAGCGTAAATGGACATAGTATTTCCCAAGTTTTTTTTTTAAATTTTGATCCTGTTTTTCCCAGTGCATACGGGGAGATCCCCTCCTCCGGTTCAGCATGTGGGGTAAGAGCCGACCATGTCCAGTGTATTTGTTTATGTTTGATGAAGCTGTTGGCTGCTGTTTGTTGGTGGCCATTAGGAGCGGTCCGGCCAACAAAAAAGCGCCCGAGGCCAGGATAATGAAGACCCAGAAAAGTGGGGATCCTCCCCGAGTCCCTTGCCACTCCCGTCCCTTTGGCCATTCCACAGCCGGTTACAATTTGCCTGCATTTATTTCGGTTTTGTTTTTGTTTTCGTTTTGTTTTAATGATCAACGGCCAAAGGGGGCGTGGCCATGTGGCCATATAGCCATGTGGCCATGTGATGCGTCACGCAATAAGATTTTTGTTTAAATCAATTTCTTGTTGCACATTCCCTGATGGCTTCAGGAAATGGCCCACAGCCATGCGGGCTCCTCATCTTTTATTATTATTTTATTTCACTCTTCGGCCTCCTTTTTGTTTGTTTTATTTAGCATGTTTTTGGTAGCCCGGCTAACAAGCCGCTAACAAGCCCACTCATACTCCTCCCAGGATGATCCATTCCACTCCGGCGGACTGCTCTTTTATTGCCGGCAAATATTTGGAACCTCTCCTTCAGCGTTTCGGCTCGTTTCTTCTTCGCCGAGGGGTGCTGTGTTATTATTTGGCTGATTAATTAACATGCCGCTCCCGATCGCCGAGTGGACCACCGAAGGCGGCGGTCCAACAAAAATGTTTGCAGTAGTAGCACCAACATGGAAGGCAACAACAATAGGACAAGCCAACAAAATGCTGACAAGGATAACAGGCTACTGGGACCGATACAACGGATGGGAATCCAGAAGGCTGGGCAAATCAAACAAAATTAAATTGTTGATTCCAAACAGTTTGGAATGCACTGCAAGTAAGGCGTAGAAATAGGATTTTAGGTAATATTTTAAAAGAGTATTTTCAAGTATTTCGTATCAGTAACCTATTGGAAATAAATCCCCAAGAAATTATTTTAAGGGGGGGGGTAAGGTTTTAAAAATTTTTTTTTTACATTTTTTTTTTTATTTTTTTTCTGAATGATTAATATGTCGAGAACATTGTGTAAAAAATTTGAGTCAATTAAAGTCAAACTAACGGAGTTACAGCGTTTTAAACAACCGTATGTGGGCGTATTTTCACGTATAAAAATACTTTGAATCGATTTTGCCGAAGACGTTATTTTGAAAGTCGGTGAACATCAGAACTCAAAATCTACTGAACCGATCCTTTTCAAATTTTTAACACAAATTCTCAACATAAATACGCAGGTAATCAGGAAGAGCTTTTTTTAATTTTTAATTTTTTTCTATTTTTAAAAAATAAATTAACAGCGATTTTCTAAGCTAAAATCGCACTTTTCACTTTCAAGTGCTCTTAAAAATAGACAAAAAATAAATTTTAAAAAAACTCTTCCTGATTACCTCGGGAAATTCATTATCTTTACAACGCATATCACATTTTATTTTTAAGATGATCCGTTAACGCCGTATGATGTTCACCGCAGAACAACTTTTTCTTTAGGCGCTTCGGAAGATTAACCGCCACAGGCTTATTTCTTAATATTTTTTAATAATTTTTTTTTTCTAATACTCTTCAAAAGTTAAACAATAACATGTAATTAAGCTCAATAAAATAAACTTACTCATTTTGCCGCAAAAAAAAATCAAACATGGCCCTTTTTTTGGCCTTTAAAACCTTACCCCCCCTTAAAAGCTCAAAATGCCTAGAGATATACAAATTTGATCCTGTTGTTTAGAGTTATGTTGTTATGTCACATTAGGATCTAAGAAAATTGACCATCTATTGAACTTTTAAACTGCCTTGGAATCACTTTTCTGTAATCCATCGGAATCATTCCATGTAAAGGGTCATAAAAGCAATGAAAAATGGCAAAAGTACGATTCTATCTTAGTATTTTCAAAATTAAACTTAGAATAATCCTAAACTAAGGGCTTATTGTATTGAAACGGCTATTACAGATCCCCGTATATCTACCCAGATCTCTGCAGAGTCCCCCTTCGAGGCATCGTCCATTCATTGGGTCCGAAGATCCGAAGCCCAAGCCAAAGCTCGCCTTCTCTGTCTCGCCGGCACTTCATTTTGTGGGATCGTCCGACCGCCTGACTGGCTGTTTGAGGCCGGCTCCTCGAATTTTGGAATTTGTTCTGCCTTGTTAAGAGTTGTTAAGATTATGATATATGTATGGGACGTCGGCGAGTGTGTGTCGGTGTGTGCTGGTGGAGATCGGGACCGGAGAGCCGGGCCGAGCCAACTGAGCCAACTGAACCAAGACGACGACAGCGGCAGCCATTATGATTCACAGCAGGAATGTGGGAAACGGCTGCCTGACCATTTTTTTCCTCGATTTTTGGGTCTCGACTGTGAGGAGCTCCATCTCCATCTCCTCGAAGACTCCGAGATCCACACACAGATACTCACGCACACGCGGACAGTTGCATTTACCACATAATCGATTCATGCATGTGGCAAGTTAAGAATTTCTTTCATGTTGCGTTTTCGTTGTTAGTTTCTGTAGTCGTTTTTCCCTCTCATTTTTTCTTTATGATTTGTTTGAGCCGCATCTTTTCGGACCACCCGTGAAATCACTTTGGGTTACCAGTTACCAGTTTCTGGCTGGGAGTCCGACTTCTCTTTTCCCCTGCTGTATTTTTGTCTGTTTTCCTTTTTGTATTTTTTGTATTTTTGGGTCTTGGGCTTTTGTTAAATTGCTCTTGTTTATGTTAACATTTAAATTGTGGCCACGGGTAGTCTGGATAGTAACCCAACCCCGGCTGCCCAACCAAAACCAATATTTAAACTCAACGCTCCATGAATAATCATCGTCATCGTCAGCGTCATCATCTCTTCTGCGGCCTTTCAGCGGGGCCATCAATTCTGATTTACCAAAAGTGTTAATTAGCCCACGGATCGGTTTTTTCTCCTCCATATTTTTCTCATTTTTTCGGATTTGTTTGCCCTCCAATCTCGGGAAACTACTCACAGTGGGCACTTTGGAATCTGCTGGAAATTCTTTAATCTGAGCTTTATCAAGTGGAAAATTTAAGGGAATTTATTGAGCCTGATCACTCGATTTTCTGGTTTTTTGATTTGTTTTCTTTGATAACAACAGTTTAGTCCATCTTTAAGACTCGGGAAATGCCTAAAATATTTTATATACTTGCGTTTTTATTTTTGCCACAGAAGGGAATGGAAATCTTAAACACAGCTCTAGAATTTATTACAAGCAGAGGATTGCCTTGATATCGGCAAAAAGCTCAACTCTATAGGTTCCGTGGGTAATTTAACGCTCCTCTTTGATTGACTTGCCTGCCTGCCCGTCTCCCAAAGAAGCGACATTCAATCAGTGCTGCAGTGATTCGAAAAAACCCGCTGAGTGCTCCAGTGCTCTGGTGCTCCGGCATCGACTGTCCATTCATAGTTGGCCAGGGATAGTGCTAATTGCTGGGTTCTGTCCCTGCCAGCTTCTGCGCCTGTCCCCAAGTGCCGCGCATAGTTGTCGCCCCATAATTGTGGCACTGCCGCCGAAGGCATCGTGCATCAGGCATCGGGAATCGAGAGTTGGGACGGGGCCATCATCGCCTCAGCCGTTGACTGGTTGTCTGTCAGCTGTCCATCAAAGCGTTGCCAAGTTGGTGTTAATGGGTGCCTAGAATGCGAGTGCCCCTTCCCGCCGCTAAACTCCCATTCCCATTCCATCGGCAGCAGCAACAGAAGCAGCAGCTCCCTGGGCTTGTTGTACACGAGGCTACGCATGTTTTTGCTTGTTGTCCTTCGGGGATTAAGCGTCAGGTTGGAGTAATTGCCGAGTGCTGAGTTCTCCCCTTGCGTTCGCCTGCTTCGCTTTTTTGCCTGGCATTTAATTTATTTTTGGATATGCTTAAAGTAAACGAAAGAAGCCACACAGACACACATGCACTTGCACCCAGAACCCGGTCCACTCCGCTCAGCAGCAATGGAATCGGAGCAGTCGCTCCTAACTCGTCGCCGTCGGCGACTGGATCTCGCTGCCCAAGGCAGACAGCTCCTTGAGGAACTGCCTCGCGTTGGTCAGCGTGGAAGCCCCGTAAATGATCCGCCGTTGCACATTGGACGTTTGCTTCTGTTTGATGAAGTCCACCAAATTCTGGTACTCGATGTAGTTGCCGCCGCCGACCATGAAGACCACGGCGTCCTGGAAGGGAGCCCGGTTCTTGGGCAGCACGTCGCCACCCTTGAGAAGCTTGGGATCCAGATACAGGTAGTCGTCCGTCTCCGCGTTGCTGCGGCATTCCATCACCTGCTCGGTGATCTTGGTAACAGGAAGATTCTGCAAGGGATTAAGATTATTAAAAGAAGCTGTTTGATTTAATAATACGCCATACGTACATGCCGCTTAACCACCAGATTCTTGACGCCCTCCATCACGAAGGAGCTGCCCTGCGAGACGAGCTTAGTGAACATGGACACAGTCTTGGTGCCGCCGCCCTCGTACTGAGTGGCCTGGCTGATGCCCGGCGAGCGGTTCATGATCCCCTTCCAGCGCTGCACGTACGCCAGAGCAGTCAGATCACAACCGGCCGCCTGCAGCGCCTCCTTGAGCCGCTCCTGCTCGGATTCGGGCAGCTGCTGGGCGCAGATGAAGTAGATGATGTACAGGCGCAGCTTGTCCTCCGCCTGGCCAAACTCTCCATCCCGCAGAAGATCCAACAGCGGCTTGTCCAGTGTCTGTTTCGACATGACCTTCTCCTCGATCTCAAAGTACGAATCCAGTCGTCGTGCCTTAATGAAATTCAGGATGGCGGTGGCGATCTTGGTGTGCATGTCGATCAGTCGCTTCTTCTCCATCAGCTGCGGCAGCGAATTGACGGCGTTTGTCAGCCGGGTGGTGGTGTCGTTGACCAGCGAGAAGGCAATGTCCGACTCGCCCTCAATGCCCATCGAGGTCTTCAGGCGCTTGATCTCCTCCTCGGAATTGCGGTAGGACTCCAGTTCCTCTTGGATGGCCTCGGCCACCGTGGGAAACGGACTGCCCTTGTGCGTCATCCAAAAGCGGTCGTTTCGGTCCAAATCGCACGCCTTGGGCTTCTTGCGGGCTCCTAAAAAGGGAATTTTACAATTATAGCTACTAGATAATGGTAGTGAACCATCAACTTGCCCGCACTCGCCGACTCATCCTCCACGTAGACCAGATTCAGTCCCAAGTCCAGAACGTCGTGAACTAGCGCCTGGTATGACCAGGTGTGATGCAGTGGAGTGGCTAGATCCATGTTCCTGTCCAGCAACAGCAGAACGGGTCGCTGGAAGCTGAACACTCCGCCGCCCGCCTGCGTGGCATCCATGTGGAACAGATTGGCACGCGCATCCCAGAGATTCTCGCGCAGCTTCTTCTCCAGCTTGCGGGCCACCATCTCGGCGGCACTGTTTCGCGGACAGCGGATGATGGGCACATTGCCCAGGGTCACGAACAAGGCGAAGAGCGAATCTACAATGGAGTCCATCAGGGCCTCCATCTCGTCATCCCGGGTGTTGGCTCGGTTGATGGCGTAGTAGGAGAGCTGCTCGCTTTGCTGGTGCTTCAGCACGAAGAAATCGTCTTCCAGGCTGATGAAGTTCACATACTGATCGTAGACACGATGGATGTTCGCTACGCAACCGGCGTGCAAGGCGGCAGCGGCCAGATTCTCGATTTTACTGCGCGTAATAGGAGCCAGGAAGTTCAGGTGGTACACATCGTATAGTCCGTTTGAGAAGTCCTGCTGAATCCTGTCCAGATTCTCGTCGGTGGGCAGGCAAAAGTATATTGCCGGCACGTCCGGAATGGAGTCGCGATCGGAGTGGAGTTGTCTGCAGTGGTAAAGAATATTTATATAGATTCCTGGAGCAGGCGAATCCTCGCCAACTTACACATGCAGGGTCACGCCCAATTCGCGCAGCTCCTTGATGGAAATAATTGGCGAAATAATGTCCTGGCCCACGCGATCGTAGATCAGGATCTTCCACACGGGCTCCGCAGCTAGGGCTTTTGGCTGCTGTGAGTTCAAATTAAGCATCTGCTTAATGGCATCTGAAAGTGATTTGTGGAAACGAAAAACTCATTAATTAAGATTTTCCTTTGGCAGGTGGCATTGTTTCTTTGGTTTCTCACTGATTTGGCGTTCCCGAAGGGTCAGCATTGCGGTTGTTGTGTGGCGGCCGTCTATAAAGGTCGAATTTAATGGATCTTTAAGAAACTATCACCCTTTTAGTGGTTAAAAAACATAGTTTTACAAAAAACAACACGTCACAAGCGACTGTGGGGCAAGCGTTTTGGTCAATTTTAGTGCATAGTAAGGCATCAGCTGTTAGAAGGAAGAGAACATAAGATGTGAAAATACCAATACAAGTGTTTAAATACTTCTGTTTGTTAAATAAAAATGCATTAATCATTTGTTAAGCTTGCTCTATTATTTTATTAGAAAAAAATTAATTAAGTTTTTGTAGTTTATAAAAATGAAGCTCATTGTTAATAAAATAAATTTTTATTTCATAATTTTATTGAATACATTCTGTGGTATTTTTGGTGTGGTATATTCATATTTGCAGGGCTGCAGTTGCATCAGGTGGGCAGCCCGATTGTGACACTCTCAGTCACACCTGTCAGCTGATTTCGAAAAGTCTCTTTTCCGTGAATTTTCCCCGTTTTCCGTCAGTTATTTTCATTTCTTCGACGCGAGCGGTTCGTACGGTTTTGTTTGAAATTTGTCGAGAGTGTCGCATCGAAATGATTTTTGAGGGGGAGAATCCGCAGCAGCGCTTCGCGGTCGCCGCCCAAGCGGTTCAGGAATCTCAGCTCCGCTGGCGTGTATCTCATCTACAGGCATTAAACGCGAAGAAAAAGCATCCTCGTCCCAGGTGCAGTGGTCGCGTCGTCAGCCGGAATCACTTCTTTAAGCACAGTCGCGGTTTCCTGTGGTTTCTGCTCGTCAATTTGCTCTCGGGCGTGAACCGCGTCAATTCCCAGTTGCTAATCAACGTTCAAAATCAGGTGCGGGTCAACAGAAAAAACTAACTCAAATCACTTAAATCGCATATAAGCAAAATACACCAACAAAAAACAATGACGCTAGCAGCGCTGCCCATCTGATTTTCGAACATCTTATTTCGAAAATGAGCGCCAAAAGAAAACAATTCAAAACCCGAGAGAGTAAAGAGCGAAAAAGTGGTGTTTGCTAAAGCAAAATAAACAATTCGGTTGACTAAAAAGTTTTAAAGTGAAGAAAACATTGATGCAACTATATATAGTACTAATATTATAAAATCCAATAAAGTTTTAAAAATTGAAAATATAACTTTCACAAATGCAAAAGTCTTAGATAAAAGTACAAAATTCATTGCTTTTGACAAATTATAGTTTGGATAAATTGCTGTTCCACTAGCCAATTATTTCCTATGGTCTCCTAATTGCTTGTTATTTAGAAAGACATTAATTGGAACTGTAAATAGTTCCAGTTCCAGTAATCTTGTCAAGTGCTCTTCATAATAATATCAAACGTTAAATAACAATATCATCAAACCGAAAGCAATGCAGTTTAATGTCATTAGTAGTTTTCCCTTTCGTGACGTTTCAGTTTTCGGCTTTAATATTAGTTGGCTTTGTTTGACTGGCTCAATATTGACACTCTGCTTTCGGCTTTTCCATAAATTTTAGATTAGTTGGCCAAAAACAGCGCTGTGCCTTTAATGAAAACTGACGGCAACAAAACTAGCTGCCTCTCGCTCTTTCGCCCCTGCTATCTCGCTCGTTCGCACGGGGGCCATACATATTTGTTTACATGTGACATCCTTCATTGTTCTGCACTCTGTCCCTGGCCCCAAAATGTCCTGATGGCTCTCTTCCTTCGCTCCGATTTTCTGCCATCCTTTGCCCTTCTCTCTTCTCTGTGTTATTCTTTGTTTACATGCGCCTTTGTGCAAACACACGGAAAACCCAGCAGCAACCAGAAAAAAACAAACGAAATTGTAGGTGTTTTGGGGGCCGAAATTCCAATACCCTTCAGAGAAAAACTATTCGTGTTCAAATTTAAGAGAATCCAATATAAAGTGGGAATACCATGTGACTGGGTTTAAAGTTGTTTATTATTAAGAACATGAAGTTCTCTTCTTGTTAACATTAAATGGTATCATATAACCAGTAGTCTGATTAAGCAGATAAGAAAAAAGTTAAATTTTTCTGAACAAACCTTTACCCAAAAACCGCGTTACCCTAGGTGCCAGACCCAATAGCAACAGTAACCCACATCCAACGAATTTGCTCGTGTACACGCGTAAAGGGCAAATTCTGTTGTTGTTGAACTACATTTCGAGATGTTGTGGGATGACGAGTTGAGTTCGCCCCCATCCTGCCCTTCGCCAGAGCACATCTCATCTCCGTTTCGTTTCGTTCTCGCAGGGCCCTCGTGTTTTCTTTTGCTATTTTTCAACTCTCTTGACTCTAATTTGGTTCATGGCCGCCCAGCTTCAGGAGCTGTCATAGTTAATTTAAGTCCCGACAACACAAGGAACCCCTTGGCCTCAGCTCCTGACTGCCTTTGTGTCGTATTAATATTTTAGTTGGACGGGGATGCAGAGAAATGCCGAGAAAGTAATTTAACACTTGTTGCTCCCTAATCCGATTCTCCGCAGGGCGGCGAGGTGATCCAGGAGAGCATTACCTCCAACATTGGCGAGGACCTGATAACGCTGGAGTTCCAGAAAACGGACGGCACGCTCATCACCCAGGTCATCGACTTCCGCAATGTAAGTGCAGCAGCAGCACCCGAAGATCTGTGAAGGTATCTGGTATTCCAAACTGTACTCTCGCCCGCAGGAGGTTCAAATCCTCAAGGCCCTCGTCCTGGGCGAGGAGGAGCGCGGCCAGAGCCAGTACCAGGTGATGTGCTTCGCCACCAAGTTCAACAAGGGCGACTTCATCTCCTCGGCGGCGATGGCCAAGCTGCGCCAGAAGAATCCGCACACCATCCGCACTCCCGAGGAGGACAAGGGCCGGGAGACCTTCACCATGAGCAGCTGGGTGCAGCTGAACCGCTCCCTGCCCATCACCCGGCATCTGCAGGGCCTCTGCGCCGAGGCCATGGACGCCACCTACGTCCGGGATGTGGACCTCAAGGCTTGGGCGGAGCTGCCAGGTTAGTTATCCTTTGTTTCAAGGAGCCAACCCGCTCCATATGTTAAACAAACTCGATTATTCTGAATGAAACTTGAAAGCATCTGCAAGGTGCACACTCGTATTTTCAAACAGTAGTCGAGATAGATAAGATAAGTTCGAATATAATCTGAGAACAAAGGAAGGAAAACTTCCAGCAGCTCTAGTGAATTGTCCGCTGTGAAACTTTTTGTTTACGCTCTTGTTTCGTTTCGTTTCGATTTCGTTTGTTGTCTGTCGACGACTCCTGCAGGCTCCTCGATCTCCAGCCTGGAGGCGGCCACCGAGAAGTTCCCCGACACGCTATCCACGCGCTGCAACGAGGTGAGCAGCCTGTGGGCGCCCTGCCTGTGCAACCTGGAGACCTGCATCGGCTGGTATCCCTGCGGGCTGAAGTACTGCAAGGGCAAGGGGGCCGCCGGAGGGGATACGTCGGGCGCCCAGCAGCAGGCGCAGCCGACGAACTATCGGTGCGGCATCAAGACCTGCCGCAAGTGCACACAGTTCACCTATTATGTGCGGCAGAAACAACAGTGCCTCTGGGATGAATGACGACGCGGCGAGCTGCAGCTGATGCAGATGCGCTGCACCAGGCGGCGGAATGGGAGCGACGAGGGGGTAGTCACCTGCCCGGGAGAAACAAGAGCAGCAGCAGCAGCAGCAGGATCAGCGGGAGCAGGAGCTGCAGCTGGAAAGGATACAACGACAGCGGCAACAACGACAACCAACAAATTAAGGCAACTGCTCTTGTTGGTCCAGCAGCAGATGCCTTTTGCTCTGTGGAGTTTTCCGGTCCATCACATTTCCCAGCCCCACTCCCACTCCCACTCCCGTTCCCATTCGCATTCCCACTCCCAAGCCCAACATAAACCCCGACAGCAGCAGCATCAGCATCATTCTCAGGTTGCCCCCACTGCGCTTCGCCCCTCATCCTCATCACAATCATCATCATCATCATCCTCATCGTTGTCGTCGTCGTCCGCAATGGCCGCCATCGTTGCGTGATAATGAACGCTTGGAACACCCAACTTCCCCAATCCACTACACGTCCTCACGAAAAAAAACGAGTGTTGACACTTTTTCCGCTCACGATTCAAGATTCTGGACGATGTCGTTCGAATGCAGCCCAACGGGAGGAGCTTGAGCCACGGGAAAACACAGCAAAAAAGGAGTAAAGCGAAATAAATGTAAAAATGTGCTTCTGTATACTATGTATATATATGTATATTTAACGATGATTAGCTTTTAGCCAGCTTACGTTTTACGCTTATGCCGGATTTCGTTTTAGACCTAGGTTAGGTGTCCTTATTCAATTTAAGCCGGAGTGAGCACGTTTGGCACATTAATATCTAATCCTTTTCTCCCTTTTTAATCTCCTCCGTTTAAGTTCTTAGTTATGATTGATAAATATTTGAGTAATTCCAATATTTCACTTTACCTTTCCTACTTGCATAATACTCTTCAGCTTTATAAACCCTTCAAGGACTTGCTAACAATTTTTTATACGAGCTTTCCCTTCCTTCAGTCGCTTATTTACCTTGCCTAGTTCAATTCCAATTTGTTTACTTTGCCCGTTCACTTCACACTTTTCATCCACATTGTGTGCAGCAATTTCGTTTCAATTACCCTTTTAGAGCGTTTTATATTTCCTTTGTTTGCCTTTTCCTCCACTTCACTTTACCTTAACTGAAGCCTGATTAGATGTATTAAGAATGTTGGACACAGTATCACGTTCCGCGCTCTTTCCACTCGTGTTGCGTTGAGCTCAAGAATATTAAATAGGAATAGCAGTATAAATATAAATAAATTAAATGTGGCCTTAGCATATTTTATGAGCGGTAGAGAAGAGAAATTAATTGAACTAAGGAATTTGTCAGGCGGCAGCAGAACTCGTAATTAATTGTGCTCATAATAGTTGTAACCGAAGAACCACGCAGGAATACACATAATATATTGCCATTTGGGTGAGTGTGGGGAATCTACTAACCAAAACGACTGCCGCAGAAAAAGCTTTTCTATCTTTTCCACTCGAAAATGGCTGTTTGAGATACCCTTGTCCCGTTTCCTTCTTTCTAGTCTTTCTTCCACTAAATCTAATCTTTATAAACTAAACCGTAAACCGTAAACACGCCTGCCTTTTTGCCTTTGACTTGTAATCTTTTCCACTTTATATTCGAAACAATTGAAATACCTTACGATGAGAGAACCTTAAGCAACTTTAATGATACCAATAATAAACAATACCAAGAACAATAATCTATTGTATAAATTTCAAGAACCTAGTCTACTTAGAGTGTTAAAATGGCATATTTTCCTAAAAGCGTACTACAAACAAGTCAGAAAAAAGTCTTTAAACAGTTTCGACGACAAGAAAAACCAACGGTGATAATAATTTTTTCTACGATATAGAAAGGCAACTCCTTCGACTCTCTGTATAAAAATAAAAACGAAACGAAATTGATCAAGTGTATAAATTGATTAGTATTAATAAGCATTTAAGAGCGAAAGCAACTCGATGATCTGAATTGTGTAAAGAGCATTTGCCAATAATAAGCGATTAATCGACTAGTCCTAACAAATAATTGAAATTAATAATTAGTCTTAAAACAAATGCTGACAAATTCTACGTTTTATAAAAAAGCAATAATGAAAACACTAAAGCGGACTTTTACTGTGAACGGAACTCCCATTTCAGGCTTATTTGCATCGACTCCGCTTCGCCGGGAGTGCCAAGTTTATTAATGCATTTCTCCTAATCATTGAAGAGCTCCAGGAGTAGCCGCCGACCCCTCGATGCATTAAAATGCCCGGCATGCTGTGCGTTCTGTGTTTGCCGAGCTCCGCCAGGACCTGATCCTTCCTCGGGCTGCTTGAGCCCCGCATCCTGTCTGCACTGCAGGCTGCACGGAAGAAGCAGCTCGTCCTTGCCGCCGCCTTGAGCCAGTGGCAAATCCTTTATGCGATTTGTAATTCATGAGCAGAGCGCACAGATTCTTATCATTTATTTTACTGCGCAATCGGTATCGACGCGGAGTGGAATTCACTTGAGGGTGAGAAGGGGGGAGGGAGTGCGGGAGGGGGAAAACAGGCAACCAACAGACATCTAGACAAACACTTGCAGCCAATAACTAAATTCATGGCGTCGACTGTAGCCGACGATAGCTTAAGACGTGCGGAAACCAAATCGGCGTCGTAGAAAATTGAATTTGTTACGATTTCGCTGGGAAAGGGGAGAGTGGTGATTGGAGAGGAGGAGGAGGGGGTGTCTTGGAGTCCTGTTCCAGGATCCTTCGAACCCGGTTCCGAATCGGAATCGCAATACCCAGCTGGATTCGAGGGGAGCAACGTATGTGCATGCCTAATGAGCCATGAAATGCCAGAGCCTGGATCCCTATTGCCCTGGCTTTTTTTGGTGGGTCATTTCCTGGTGGGTAATCAGCGACAGCTGGCTGCTCGAAAAACTAGGGTGGTGAAGCGGGTGGTGGGGCAGGACCACCCGTGGGTCAGGGCCACCCGGTGACCTCGCCACGAAGCAAAACGAACCGAACCCACGTCTACACAATTAAAGCATGCAGCTGCTGGCGTGTAAATCAAACAAAATCAACTCTTCGCAGGCTCTTAATTAAGTTTACACTCTCGGAATTCGATTTCCCCGGCCATATTTCTGTTTTTTCCGTTGGTCAGCCGTTCACCCAGCAAATGTGGCCGAATCAATATGAAGGTGAGTATCGAAAAGTTATTAATTAAACAGTCTGTTAAGGATATATGGAGTATTTACTGAAAACCTGTTGAAATCTTCAACCTCTCATAAAATAATAATAAAAACGATTAACAATTTTTAATAAACAGAATATTTTTGTATATGTAAAAGTATTTTCACATATTTTTTACATCTTTTTTATTCTCACTCCCACAACACCTTAAATGCACAAATATTTAAAATATGTGACTACTCGACTTTACCCTTTTTTATTTCACTTTAAGAGTGCCATGTTGGTTTTTGCCTCAACCTTTCGCAGGGAAATTCTTCAAAAATCTCCGCTCTTGAAACTTGCAATCGGCGGCGGTGGTATGTGGCTTGTCAGTGTCGGTTATCAGGCCAGCGAAAGCAGCTTTCCCACCGACTTTCCCCCGAGAAAAGTTCTCGAGTGGGGCCTTAAGTACACCCCGATGTTCGTGTGCGAGTGGCCGTGCTCATTGCTGTGGCCATGTGAGTTTTTCCTATTGACTTTTCAGGTCAAAAGGCGGCTGTGAGCTTAATATTTGCATAACTACTTAAAGCAGCCCACACCACACGAACACGAACGTTGGGCCTCTTGTGGTACAAGGGCTCGAATTGGGGGCTCGGTCGCTATGCATTCGTGTGCCTATCTCTGCGTTAAATTAAAATCACTCATACGCCGTGTAATCATCGCAAATAGGCCCTCCAGAGGGCCTCGCCTCCGCCGCAAAGTTCAAGGCGCACTTTAATCCCCCCAAAAACCAGAACCCCACTAATTTGGCTGAGTCACGTAGGACGGTGAAACAAAAGCAGCTGCAAAGCCGACGACTTGCCAACTACTTTGAGAAATGTAATTTTCACTCTTGCCAACTTGACAAACTGACGCACAGACTGACATTTCGCCGGCCCTTTTCATGGGTGTGGGCTTAAAGCGGCGGAAAGGGAGGCAAAGGGGTTGGAAAATAGCATTTCAGTTCACCCCCTGTCTCCAGAGTAATTGAAAGTTTCAACAATTAGCAGGGATCGTTGGGAGTACAAAAGTTTACGGCCAAACGACTACGCCTAATGGTAGGCCATAATTATTGTTTGTGCGACCCTTGAATTGAACTCAATTTTAATGATAATGGCTGCATTGCCTGCGGGTTGAAAATCATACAAGTTTTGGTTTGTCTTTGCCCAGAAAGTTTCATTAAATAAACCTCCTTAAAACGATTGGAATTTTAAACTTTTTTTTTGTTGTTAAATAAGTGGTAATTTCGCCATCCCCTAATTCAATAATTAAAAGTTATAAGACATTAGTGTTTAATTTCATTTTCCACCCCCCGAATAGCAATCACAATTATAATGACTGTATTTGTTCCGAATCACATCGATTCGATCTTGCGGAACACCTGCCTCCTCCATTTGTAATTGTCATTTGATGACAGTTAATTGAATTGGCCCAATTGGATGGCCCCGAGGCGGCGGAAAAAAGTTCCCAGGGACCTTTCCTTCGTCTTGCTCCTGTCATCATTATCGCTGCCATTATGCGTGCGGATGGCCGATGGTCGGATGGTCAGCCCTCGTTCGAGCCCCAACTGCACTGCACATAAATCAATGACAATCAAAATTCATTTCGTTGCCTTGATTTATTGCTTTTGTTTGATTATATGGGGGATGGGAGGGGGTTAAGGGGGGCGGGGCATTAGTCCCCGAACAGGGAGCCGTGATGTTCTGCCTTATCAGCAATGCATATTAATGTGAGTTATGTGTGCGCGCCAGAAAAGAAACAAAACAAAACAAAACTAAGCTCAGCTCAGCTCAGCTCCCTTTTCCGAGTGTTCCCTGCTTTCTGTGCAAATATTAAGGATACACAGGGAGCAACGGCATGTGCACGCCCTCTTCATCTGAGTAGCAACCTTTCTGCGATTTTATTCCGGGTTTTTTGTTATTCTCTGGGTTGGCTGCTTTATACCCCGAAATCCACGCCCCCGCCCTGCTGCCAAATCATCAATCAAACGCGTGTGATTTGCTACAGTTCAAATTTCGCTCTCAGTTCAATCGTTCAGCCATTCAAGCAGAAATACAAATATTTGCTTTTTTCCAAAGTACAAAAGCAGCCCCAAAGGGGGGAGGTGGGGTGCACTTGGGAAAAGCAGCAAGAATATTCATACAAAAATATGTTGCCAATCAAACAAATACTTTTGTAACATTTTTTTAAGTACAATAAAGTCTTTGCAATAAATTATTTGGAGTAAATGTTTTCACATATTGTTTCCCTTTTTAACTATTTTTTTTGAGTGCATCTGGTGGGCGGTTTAAAAGGCATTGGGGCGGCCATGCCGAGGGCTTAGTTCTGTCCTTCCTGCCTGACTGACGTGGCTTAAAAATCGAGGCCTCTTCTCCAGCTTTTCCCGTCAAGGGGCAGCAAAAAAGGGTAAGCCACTCTTCGCTCACAGGTAGCAGCTGTTCCTTCCCTCCCGATTTTCCCAGCCCGGTCCGGCCCTTGCTTTTCCATTTTCCGACTGCCTAATCTCCTGTGTGATGGGCTGGCAACCTGTTACATGGCTCCCCGCCCACCATTCCTCCGGCCAAAAGGAGCCGAGGCCAACAAATGGCCTCCGTAATAAGGCGCTGTGAAATTATTTAGAAAATTTAGCTAGCCAAGGGCAGCACCTTTTGGGGGCTTTGGATTGGATTTGCTGGAGGTTGGCTGGGGGCAAAAAGTAAAATGGAATTTGTTTTCATCTCGTAGAAAAAGTTTTGTGGCTGCAAAGTGGAAAGACCAAGAAAGCTTAAAAGGTTTAGCTGCTTATTATAATCTCCCAAATCATTTTTGGTTTACCCCAGAAGCTTTCATTCACTGGGCTGTGGAGAATTGAAAAAAAATACTTTTTTTGTAGAAACAATTTGTAAGAGAAAGGGGTTATTAAATTAAATATTAGACTACACCGCAAAAGTCCCCTTTAAAGATTTAATTTTAAGACAATTTTTTATATGTTTTCAGTGCAACTATTACCTGATTTTTTTAAATGGTTATTGCAGTAAAGTAAGAGCCACCCATTATGTGAGCCACAATTAGCTTTAGCTTTGCTCCAAGACAAATCCTGAGCTCGGCACTTGAGCACTTTCCGGCAGATGCTCTAAGAAGCCGCCCGGAATTGCAGGGCTTTTGAATTGTTGCCAAAAACAATTTATGGCAGCATTGTGTCGTGCTGAATTTTGCGCACAATTGAGAATTGTGCAATTGCATTTTGGCCGCAGGACGATGCCGAGATAAAAGGGGAAACGGTTGTCCCAGCTGCGTCTCGAGCTTTGCATATTTATTCGATAACGAAATAAGCGGCAGTTAAATTGTAAATAAGGTCTGAAGCAGCTGGCGCTGCCACAATAATTAAAAACAATACGCTAGGAAATTATGCTTAAAAGTTTAATGTGCCGGGCTGGCAGGGTGAAAGTCCTGCGAAGAAGGAGCGGAAGGAAGCGGTCCAGGACGAGACAACCAGACGCATAAATCTTGCAAGTGCACACTTGGCTTCATTGCAACTGCTTTTCCTACGTGTGCACTGCTCGAAAAAGATGCCATTTAAAAAAAGTTAATAAAACAAGTTGTTGTTAAATAAAAAAAAAACAAGTTAATGATAAATGGTGCAGCTTCTTTGAAGACTGTTTTCTTTGAAATATTTAAAGTTATGCCAAGGATTTTGCTCTTGTATTTTCTCTATTAAAAATAAGTAATTTACATGTGCGTTATTTTCCAGTGCTAAAAGTGTGTATTTCTCCGGCGGAGTCCCGAGTGCATTTTCTAATGACAAAGTCAAACAGGCGACGATGGTTAGCGGAATGCCAGAGTCTCGCTTATTGTCCTGCGTCCTTGAGTGTCCACAACTTGCCGCTGGCGATTGTCGTGCAATGCGACGGCAAGTGTTGAAAGCATGTTAATTGCTAACCATAACACCA